GCATGGCTGCTGTATACGTATCACATTATGTCTGATGCAGAAGGCCCAACCATCTCCATCCCTTTCCTAACCATGACAGCACATTTCATGCTTTCTCAAATTCAAAACCAGGGCTTGGCTACCCAGCTGGGGTAGAAGGTGCTGCACGTTTTGAGCTTTGCAATGAGGATGGATATCAGCAAAACTGCCTCGAGAAGAAATGCCGACTTGGACCCTCTTTTATAAAAATCTTAAAAATACTGGCAACAATTATCCGAAGCAAGTCTTTGTCTTCTGAAAATTAACCAAAAGCTTTCGCTGACCCAAGGCACATTCCTGAAGACAAATGGTTGGATTCTGGTAAGAACAGCAAAGGTCGAAATGCCTGAGTCTCCCTGAGCCCCATCTGCCTACCTGGCATTAGTAGGCCTGAAGATAAAAGCTCATAATCCTGATACTAGAGAAAGCAGCACAAACTGGTATTTTTGGATCTGATGGTGCTCTGAAGATAAGCTCAAAATAACTATCTTTATTTCTGCCTGACTTGGAAGTCACACAGTACTAGATCCATAGCAAGGGGACACTTAACAGCCACTATTTTAGCGACTGCTATGTATAGATCACTAAGGTAAACCATAATAAGCTCACCAAAAAGTTGACAAGGAAAGCCTCATGAACAGAGTGGTGAAAAGCCTACATACATCCCCTGTGAGCCCACAAGGTCACGTGCTTGCCACAGCTGTCTGTATGCTCAGGAACGGTGACCCTTAGCTGTCACTTCCAGCGGGCCCTAAGGCTCAGTACTAGCAGGAAGTGCCCAGTTAGGGTGGATGATCAGCTTCTGGCCTGAGTGACAATGGCAGACCCAGCAGGCTCGAAGCCTCTCAGAGGTCAAAGCTTTCCTTGTTGATGATGGCCAGCTGGCCACTTGAGGAACAAAGCCTCACTGGCTACACAGGACGATGAGTAGGGACAATGTAAAAATAATGTAGGAGGGGGAAAAAAAATCACGAAACAAATTACAATATGTAAGGGCTGGCCAGATCAGTGGCCTAATGCGCCTGTTCAGGCAGTACACAGCAGGTGGGCTTCGATCTCGAGCATGCTGTGTCGGCCTTGTCCCCGGGGCACGCTGAGCCAGCAATTGAGACAGGGCATGGTGGCACGCGCCTATAATTTCAGAGCTTGGGAGGCTGTAAACAGAAGGATCACTGAGCCCCTTCTGTGTAGTGAGATCCTGCAGACCCTGTAGCAAATACATTTAAAAAAAAAAATTAAATATGTAACAACAAAATAAATCTTAGGGACAGAGATCTAATTCCCAAATGGCTACATTATCATAGGTAAAATATCCAGTTTTCAATAAAAAAGTACATGGCATAAAAAAAACAAAGGCCCATAATAGGCCTTCACCAAGAGAAAGGGTCCCAGAGAAGGCCATCAGGCTTACTGAACAAAGCCTTGGTGTCAACCATTCGCCAAATGTTCAGACAACTAAAGAAACCAACATCTGAATAAAGAAGAGACAGCACCTCAAGAGAGTGAATTTATAAACATGAAACAAAGGTACTAAAGTTGAAAAGTACAACAACTGAAGTAAAGACCACGAAGGCACTCCAACAGCAAAGCTGAGCAGACAGAAAGAAGGGAACTCGAGCCTGGCGAGCTGCTGAGGCAAGTGAGCAGGGCCGGAGACTGCGCGACACCACTGCGTAAGAACACACAGAAAGCGGGAGGTCCACAGAGAGAGTGGAAAGAAAGAAAAGGAGCCGGAAAGCAGCTCTAAAAACCCAAACTCAGGTTGGGGAGATGGCTCGGTAGAGTAAGACTGGCCTCAGTTCAATCCCTAGTTCTGCCTCCCCCCAAAAAAATCCCAGAACTTATTTCAAAAAGCATTAATTTATGCTTCCCTGAAACAATGAGCTCCAATCAGGGTAAGCGGAGATGCAGTTCAAAGAGATGAAAGTGCATGAAAAGTCTGGCGGGAGGAAGTAACCGCAGCTGGAGCTGAAGCCGAGCCACAGCGGACTGAAGGTGTGGCACAGGCCTGCAGCTGCCACACAACGTGCTGCTGAGGCGCTGGGCGGGGCCGGGCTCGTCGCCTCACACATGAACGGGTGAGGGAAGGCCGGGGACGGCTCAGTGGCGCCAGCACCTGCCTGGCACATGCAAGGGCCTGAATTCGATCCCTAGCTCTACAATCAAGCAATCAATCTAACAAAAGGGTCGGGGAGATTTAAGCTATGTAAGAGAAAAACATTTGCACATTATTAAAATCTAGTTGATTTTCTACTTGATTCAAACTAGATTTTTCCGAATTAAAATGCTAATTGCAACTCCCTGGACAATAATTATGAAGACAAATCAAAAATTAATTGGAATTAAAACAGTACATCAGGAAATATGTGTGTACGCACCAAAGAAGGCAATCATAAAGCAATAAAGGAACACAAACATAGTAAGTAGAGAAGACTAAAACCAAAATGAATTGTTTATTCATAAAAATTATGTTAAAATACAGAAATAGCAAAACAGTAAAAGAAAAAAGTGATCATATCAAGAAATACAGAAGAAAAAAACATAGAGAAGGCAAATTTAAACAGAAAAACACTTTCATGTTTGGAAAGCATTCCACACACTAGGACTAAAAGGGAACTTTGTTAACCAGATGAAAGGCATCTGAAGAGAAATCCCTGACAGCCACGAAAGGCTGAAGCTTTTCTTTCAAGGTTAGGAAGCAAAGACCTCTGCGCTCACCCCTCGGAGCGGACTTGCCCTGCAAGCTCCAGCCCAGCCCGCAGAGCAGGCCCGAGTGACGCGCAGCGCCCCAGACTTTATCTGCAGTTGATCTGCTCTTACATGAACGTTGAAAAAGCCAACACTAAGAGAGCTTCCAAAGTTCATCAAACTTGGAGAATACAAGGTTAACAGGCAAAACCTGTGCCTGTTTCTCTATGCTAAAAAAAGAAAAATCTGAAAGTGGGATTGATTTATTTTGTATTTTAGGTAAGGGTCTACAGGGTGTTCAGGGTCTCACTAAGATTGGACTCTAGTGAGCCGCCTGTTTACAGCCTCCCAAGAGCAGGAACTGCAGGCGTGCGCCACCACGCCCAGTCTCAATCAGCGTCTCAGTGCGCCCCGGGGGTCAGAGTCGGCATGGCAGGCCCGGGGAATGAATCCTGGCCCTGCACCTGCAAGCTATTAGGCCGGCCCTCTGAAAATAAAGTTTAAAGATCTGAGTTTACACTATCAAAAAGGAATAAAATACATAAAAGTAATTTGATTCAAAAAGTAAGAAATTTTGATACTGAGAACTACAAAAACATCATTGAAAGAAACTTCTGAAGTCCCAAATAACAGACAAAACACCAACATGCCCACACAGGGAGACTAAGAAGACTGCGTCCTAGCTCACTCCAGCCGCTCTGAGCACAACGCCGTGGGCGGAGTCCTCCGTCACACACGGCAGGCCAACACTTCTCACAGGACAGAAATGCAAAGAGAAGGCACGCACACGCAGGGTCTGGGGCGGCCCAGCTCTTGTCCACACCTGGATGTGGCTGCCGAGCCATGTGTGGCAGGGAGCGAAGGGCTTTCTTCTCTGTCCTCCTTTTTTAGAAAACACACGAGGTCTCTGCTCTACCTCATGGTCTCTTTCCCAAGGTCTGGCCTCTTCCTATCATCACGAGGTCAGAATTTCAACACATGGATTTTGAGAGGACACAAACGCTGCCCACAACTGATGACAGTAATTCCCAAATTGGCTATGGATCCCATGCAAATCTATACAAATTCAAACTGCCTCAATTAGCAGAAGCAGACCAGTGAAAGACAAGGACACAACGGAAGTCAAAGGACCCAGACAAAATAACCGTGTAAGGGAAAACACAAAGAATCCATGTCTTGGCTTCACTCTTGCTGCGAAGCTACGATAATCAAGACAGTGTAGTACTGGAATAAAAAGTTAGACAGATCAGTGGACACAGGGGAATCCAGAAATACACCAACACTACGCTCAAATTATTTTCAACCAGGGTAACAAGATTACTTCACAAAGAATAGTCTTTTCAATAAACTATACTTGGAAAATTGAGTACATGATACTCTTGATTGACTTGATTAACTAGAGCTTATTCAGTGTCATGAGATTGTTTGCTTCTAAAAGAATTTTGTAGTTTGTCTTATGTTTAAGTTAATTGGTCCTTGAGAATTAGTGATTTTAATGTTATATGTACTTTTTTTCCCTGTATTTTAGGAAAGGGTCTACAGGGTGTTCTGCGTCTCACTGTGTAGATCAGACTCGTAGTGATCCGCCCGTTTACAGCCTCCCCAGTGCTGGGATTACAGGCGCATGCCACCACGCCCAGTCTCAACTGAAGTCTCAGTGCACCCCAGGGGTGGGGCCAGCACGGCAGGCCAGGGGATCAAACCCCTGACCTCTACGCCTGCTTGCAGGTGCTTTAATCCGCTGAGCTATTTGGCTAGCCCTGTTATACATACCTTACTGATAGGAAATTACCAGTTGAAGCTAATGGTTTTCCCCAAACTGCATTATACACACAGATTCTTACTTCTACCTTTTTCTGATCATGTCCCAAATGTATCTTTCAGGATTTTTAATGCTGCAGCACACTTTTTCTATCCAGCAGATGTCTACACTGTCCTACTTGTACTGCGCACTTTATATCATAGAGTTTTGCACAAACATTGTATAATCAGCCTTAGCATTTCCCCTTTACACAGTGTTTCTTAAAACTGCATCACTTGTGATCAACATATGTCTGGCTACAAATGTACCAACATGCAAGAAATGCAGTAAGAGGTATCTGTCTCGCACCAACAACCTGCGCCTTCACAGATCCCTGCAGGAGTAACAATAACTCATTTTTATCCAAATTCTACCACTTGCTAACTTAAACCTTTGCCCAACATTTACCTTAAAGCGTGGTCATTCATATTTGATGTCTTAACACTTTGACGGCTATCTTAAGCGATGCCTCTCCCCAGCAACACGAACTCACCCTAAGCATGGGGCCATTCTGAAACACGTGCGGCTCATCGCAGACCACACAGTACTCATTCAATACAGGGATCCGCTGCTCAGCAAACTCAATTGTCTAAAGGAAATAAAAGACAATACAATCAAGTTAACAAGTGGTCTGGAAGCCCAACAAGGGGCAACCATTTGTACAGCGCACAGAGCCTCAGCTCTTACCTGCACTAGGAAGCCGCGGTCTCGTATTGGAATACACTTTGCACCGTTAGGCTATAAAAGGTAAAGTAAAAGAAGACGAATTTAATTGGGAAAATGTACAATAAAATAACAGTGAGTACGGAAGTGACTGCTCTAAGGTGGCATGAAATAGGAAGCTACTGTCTATGATGTCAACGTGCTAGAATTTCTTTATTCACCTACTTACAATGCCCTTTTTGCATTACGTTTACAATTTTCTGCTAAACTAAATGATCAGCATTCTTAATTGCTGATCTGGCACACATGACTGGCTTCCTGACATGTAGCAAAAACTCACTTCCCTATTACTCATCAGCAAATGCTCAGGCCCCCCCAGCAGAGCATCACAACCTTATTCCTTATGTAAAGAGTGATACAATTACTCCTCCAAGGAGAAATTACAGAGCTACTGCAAGCGGCTCAACCCTAAGCACAATGCATTTTTACACAGAATATGTGAAATTATCTTTTTTGGGCAAAACTATCACGGGAAACATTCCACTCTGTAATCGTCTGACACTAGTTTTTCCATGACCTTAAATCTTACCATTAAACAGGAACAGGCCTTTAGGATGGCCTCACGCTCAAATTTTCATGAAACAAGCTTTATGGCACAATTTACAATTTATTTTTGAAAACTAAATCTGTATCAGGGTAACTTCCTAAAACCAGTGTCTTCTTTTCTGTCAACTTTATCTGCAGTTGGGTGTATCCATATGCATGGCTAGAGTTAAGCAGGTGCTCCCCAACACACACACACACACACACACACACACACACACACAGTGAGAGAGCGAGAGCGAACACCTAAATTACTCTAGAGGTGAATTTTGTTTGAGTCCATGCCACACAAAACCTTAAGCATTCCTAAGTTATCGCAGGGCCCCAGCTTCAGCACCACACGTACGTGAGAGGCGAGTGCAAGCGTGGCCTGGGGATCCACTTTCCACACTGCTTCTCGCCACCACTCCCACCACTGTCCGGCAGCCCCTGCCTTCAAGATTACTCTTAATTTAATCCCATAACAAACATATCCTCCATAATTCAAGTGAAAAAACCACAGAGGGCCTTCCCTCTAGTCTTAGCGACATTGCACACCAGAGCAGGAGCTCGAACTGGAACTGAAACCAGTAACTATTCCATCAACAATGAAACGCCCTGCTCCTTAGCTGAAACTTAAGAAGACAAGGGGAAAACATTTACGCACAGCAGGCTGGGAAGATGAAGATGATGTTGGCGTTAAGATACCAATAAGTCCTGAGGAGAGAGAGAGCCTGCGGCCCTCGGCGGTGGGCTCCTTGAAGAGCTCGGCCTTGGCGGCCCGCGGGGCGCCGGCGCAGGCCTTGCCCAGCAGCTTCTGGCCCTTGAGCCCGTACAGCTCCTCCACCCGGAGGCTGCTGGAGTAGGAGCGGCTGAGCAGCTTGTGCGGCTTTGGGCCGGCGCCGTGCTCGCAGCGTGGGTCCCCGGAGCACGAGCGGCTCAGCAGTTTGTGCGGCTTCAGGGTGACCGTGACGCAGTCCTCTGGCTTCCCAGCAGCAGGGCAGGGGCGGCCCAGGAGCCTGTGCGATTTCATGGTGGTCAGGGCCTGCTCGGCTCGGGGGTCGCTGGACAGGGAGCGCCCGAAGGTCCTGTGCGACTTGGCGGAGCACACGTCGTCCGCCTTGACCGTGCTGGAGCAAGTCCTGCGCAGCAGCTTGTGCGCCTTGGAGACGCCGTCCTGCTCCGCCTTCAGTTTGGATTTGCTTTTCCCACAGCCAGGGGGAGGATAGCTGGGCGACCTTCAGAGTGGAAGGAGAATTACTAGGGGGCAGAGGACGAGCGCGTGGCGTGCCCAGCACCGCAGCACAGCGCTGGCACCCGCCTCACCTGCCCACGGCCCACCCTGGCCAAGCAAGCATCGCGCAAATGTGCAGAGACCCGAGCGAGAACGTCACCCCTTCCTGCAGGCAGAGGCCTCTGGGCCCCGCCACAGCTACCCAGGGCCCCCTAGGAATCCAACCGCTACGGGCCGCTAGGCGAGCCAAAGCAATTAGTTCTAGTAAACTGGGCAGATGCTGAAGAAATACAAACTGCAGAAAGGAACATTTATGTTTCTGCTAAGAGTATGCGGCACTCAGTCCATTCTTTAAAGTCATGAAGAAAACAACAGGCTGGGAGTGGTTGCGCATGCATGTAATCCCAGCACTCAGGAGGCTGAGACAGGAGGATCGCCCTGAGTTCACGACCAGCCTGAGCTATGGAGTGAGAGCTGGCCTCAAACAAGCACATGCAGCTATGCTGAAGTGAGCGCCTCACGCCGAGAACCAGAGTGCGCCTGCCTGCATCAGGACAGAGGTGGAGTCGCCTGCCACCAACCTGCGCAAGGTGGAAAGCAGGTGCAGGGGGGACCTGGCTTTCTTTTCCGACAGCTTCTTACTGTGCAGGCAGCTGGACTTCTCCTTGCTCTGCTTCCACTGTTGTGTCACAAACGTCTGCATGATTCTGCCAAACCAAAGTGAACTGTTATTTCACCCTAAGGAGCGGCACACGTTTATCATGTTAAAGCACATTTGTCAAAGAAAGTACACACACAGTAAGCACTGAGATTCTCACGTAGAGCTGCTATATATGAAATTTTCCAGACAGGAGAATGCATTAGAGGTCACTACTGAGACTTTATGATGGCTGGTTACATTGCAGTATGGGAAAATAAATACTAATTATTAAAACAAAGGGTCCAGCCAGGAGCGCTTCGGGGTGCCCACCCGGCAGGCACAGTGGACACCCCGGCCCGGTGGACAGCTGCCCCTGAACGCTGACACTTCAGGTGCAGAGGTAGCTGTCAGAAATGACTTCAGTACTGCCAATCTGTCATGCTTTTTTCAATTATTGCCAAGATAGATTGGTTCTGGGAGAGGAAAACAGGACTGATATTTACAATGAGAGAGTAAAAACAGAAACATATTTTCCCCTTTAATTCTCAAGGGGCCAGGGATGTAGCTCAGTGGCACAGCACCCGGAAAACACAAGGTCCTGAGTTTTACTCCCAGCACCAAAAAATAAAAATAAAATAAAAAAAATTTCAAGGCACTTTCAGAAAGTAGCTATTACAGCACATATTTCACAAATAAGATGTGAAAATGAAAGCTGCCCGAGAAGGCTTGCGTGCTGGTGGTGCAGTGGAGGGGCACTCCTCAACCGCTGGGGGACACACGTCCAACATACGCTACTCGACAGGGCAGGGCAATTCCGAGCAGCAGGCAGGTCACTAGACCGCTTAAGATCCATCGGCATGACCACACCAAGTCACTCCCAGAAGTTTATCATTTAGGCTTCAACAGTGTTTCTTCTGCTGGCTTTGGCCACAGCGATGCAGGGGAAACTGCCACGACATTGTGAGTCCAAATTCACAGTATATTTCCTTAGAGCTCAACAAGAGGCTTTGGTATCTTATACTTCATGTTTACAGATGGTCCTCACCCAAGATTGCATTAGGAGTTAAATGGAATAATGCTATGAGAATCGGTGTTTCTCCCCAAACCTAACAAAAGATTTCTACTGACAACATACTTCATACTAAACAGAGAGGTTTTCTTTCTCTGCTGTGATTAAAAACAAAAAAAGAAAATCCCGTTCTGGTACGCCGCTCTCCAAGCCAGCCAGCGGGCGCTGGCCTGATCGCGACAAACTCACCACAGGAACAGAAAGAATCAGGAACCTCAGCATCTAAGGCCAGCAACCCTCTAACCCAGCGCCTCGGACTTGCTGTCGTTCTTAGCTCCGAAGGTAGTGTAGCCAGGCTGAGACACAGCCCAAGCGCAGAGCACCCCAAGCGTCGGCGAGTGCCTGCATCTGACTCCTAGCAGGGCCAAAAGTGATCGCTGAAACTTGGTGGCCATCTGACGCACTCACACGCGTGCCCCACATAACCCCCTTCGCACCTGGAGCTGCTAAAAGATCCCCAGACCCACACTGGGTTTGTGATTCTATAGCACTGGCACCAAAAAGCAATGCTGCAACTGCTGCGGGCTAACGAAGACACAGGGGAAGACACCAGGTCAGCTGCAGAGCCGCCCCGAGGGAAGAGGGCCAGAGGCGACGGCCACTGCACGACCAGTGGTGCCAGGCGCGGCATGCACAGAGTGTCCACGTGGGCAACAGCGCCATCTGCTTCAGGCTGATTTTAAAAAGAAAAACCAGGGGCCGTAGAGATAGCTCCGCGGTCCAAGTACCTGACTAGGCAAGCGCAGGGCCCGGGGTTTGATCACTGGCATCACAGGCTGGCCAAGCCTGGCCCTGGGCATGCTGAGCTGGCCAGAGACCGGGCGTGGTGGTGGTGCCTGTAATCCCAGAGCTGTGGAGGCTGAGACAGGAGGATCACTACAAGGCTGCGCATGTAGTGAGACCCTATGCCACTTATATTAAAACAAATTTTAAATTTATTAAAAAAAAATCTATGCACTAGATATTAGACTGTAAAGTAATGCCATCCATCAAACTGAATTAATGGCCTTTGTTTACATTTTTAGTGTTTTATTTTGATCTGTACTTTAATCATACACTGGATTTGGTTTTCTACATAGGAAAAATTTGTACATGATTTTGTTTTATGAGTTTGGAGGCGGAAAAGGCTTACAGTCCTTCTTCCCACAAACACAGTCTAACCTTGCTCAGAGGAGAATGTCATGCAAAGCTTGGGCATCCTCACTGTGCACACTTGGCCTGCCTTTTACAGACAGGCACCCTATCAACACTGACCACAGGGCCACTGCATACTGTTAACCGCCAAAAAAAAAAAAAAGCACTTTGTCTTTTGGGCCTTTTTGTTGGCTTCGCATGCTCCCAGCACTCACTACATGCCACAGACGCAGCACTGACTTACAAGCGGCAGTGGGACGCTGCGGCTCCACCAGCACAGTGCGGGATACAGGGTCACCCTGGCGTCATCCCAGCTCCAGCACCGCCTCCCGCGCGGCTGTGTCAGCCTCTCTCGTTTCCGCTTTCCTCACCAAGGAAACATCACAGCCACACTCCTCTGCCTCGGAGGGCTGTGGTGCAGCCCCGATGCTTTCACGTGTGAGAAGCAAGCCAAAGACTGGCTGACACACAAGGAGCCCTGCTGATGCACCTGCCGCAGCTGTGGCCAAGACTCTGCGCTGCGGTTCCAAACAAGGAAGGCGAAAAGAGCAGCACTGTGTGACAGTCTCGGATTGCCTGAGAGCAACCCTAAACAGTTACAAGCAGCAAAGACTGTAAGTCTGCCTTCCATCTGTGAATTTCTAGAAAAGTAACCTCTCAGTACTTGAGATTCATTTAGGAGTAACTGTGAAGACAACGGGAATAGCACGCCATCGTCAGAAACAACAAGAGCCCGTGGCTTCCACCACTGTGGACGAGCCTTGCACTCACTACAGCTGGGCCCGGGATAGAGCTCGGCTGCACACCCACCTGCCTGGCAAATACAAGCTCATGGGTTTGATACCCCAATTTAAAAAAACCCGTAAGTTGGTGAAATAAGACAGAAATAAAAAGATAAGCACAGAAGGATGGGACCTATAGACAGAATCTGAGAAAACTGACCTCATGGGAGAAGCTGAAGAGAACAGGAGCTACCAGAGGCCATGCAGACACCAGCACTGGGGCCACTGCCACGTGGGTGTTCAGTCCCTGCCAGCCATGACCAGACGTGCTGGTGTAGAGGCGCAGCATGGGCGACCGCAGGGAACAACTGCCACGTGCCGAATGACACTAGAGAAGGGGATTCTGAACGTGTTCACCGTGACGGTGCCACAGATGTGTGACATCAATACGCATGTTTTATATATTGTTTTGTCACACAAATGTTAATAGGTATATTTCTATGTTTTGAGTATTTATAAAAAATTAAATCTAATTTTTAAGGTTTTTTTCTTCCATAATTTGAGAAACAAATAGCAATGAGACAGTTTCAAACCAAATTGGTAGGACAGTTTCAATAATTAACACACTGCATACATTCTTCCTAGTGGTTAATTGCTGTACAAGATGCGGACATGATATCCTATTTACAAACACCATTAGAACAAATCCCTCTATTCATTAAGAGAATATAATATATATCTATCCTAACCACTTTGAATACATAGATACAAAATGGACATTCATCTGTATCCCCTTTTTTTGTTAAGTTCCGTTATCTGAATATTATAGGTGTGTTAACTCAGCAAAATATTCCAAAAGAGTCCAGTAGTCCATAATAGTATTGGGTCTTCCGCTTCAATGGCAACGTCAGAAGTTGTTGACCTGAGTCCCCTATAGCTCAACACAACAGCATGGCTTTACTTCTTATATTTCGTTTTTATACTTTTTTGCTGGATAGTTAAGACCAAAGTAAAGCACGACCTGTGCAACAAGAGTTGTAGCTTTTGGGTCTGAGAAGGTCAGTGAAATCCCTTCAGGATTTATCCTGAGATCCTGTACCTCAGATTCTAGAAGCTTTGTCAGTGTCATCCATGTTGATGAGTCACGGCCACTGCTTGGCCAATGTGCTCTCCTTGAAAGCCTGAGAGAATGTTTTCACTCCATGTGACTCTTCTTAGGCACACTCTACATCATTGATCACTTTCCTCTTTGGCCCCATAATCTCCTTGACCAGAAAATTTGGGACACTACCGAGTTACATGACATTACAGTACAAGTTCTCATATGTTCTGAGTCTTAATTGACCTTGGAAGGCTAAGGCCAAAATGTTGGCTTTCCTTGGGGCCCTCCTTTATCTCTAATTTTGGTCTGCAAACTTAGGTTGTTAACCATCCAGAAGACAAACTTATTGTTATTACCATACAACCCAGGCTGTTAAGCTTAACCTCACTATCTGTCTGAATATCAAACATCTTAGGCATAACATGGAACAGGTATTTTTCATCAAGTATTGATATGCTGAATTTTAAGTCCCTACAGAATATGATGAGAAAACATTTAAAAATTAGAATATATTTTTAAAAATAGGCATAAAGAATTATATACTTCTTATGTTTACACGTTAAGTCCAAAAATCTAACCATATACAACCTTGAAGCAGGACAGTCCCACAACATCCCTTTTCCTGTCTCTTGCTTTCATTCACCACCCCCTTCTTTTTGAACAATCATGTACTTGAGAGACAGCACAGCAGCAACTGGCATGTCATGACAAGCAGCCCGTATTCAGAAGACCAGAATGACAGGCTCTCCAAGCATGAACCTACTATTAGAAATTGCCATGTTCAGTGCAGTTGCTTAGTTCACAGGTATCAGTATATATAGTTAGTCAGGGTGAGAATCTTTCCAATTAACTGCTAGATTCAAAAATCTTCTGGAGATTCTCAGGATCATTGCCTTGCCCATCTTCTATATCTAACTGTTTATAAGCGGCTTGACATTGTCATGTTTCCTAGCTCTTCTCCTTTCCCTTTTAATTAGTCCTCAAGCTTCTGATTTCATTTTACTTGTTTTATACCCTTCTATTTGCATTTCTTCTTTTGAGTTCTTATACTGAGGAAACTATACGATATTTACACATGTGTGTCTGGTTTATTTCAATTATGAGTATATGTTCAAGTGGCATCCACTTCAATATAAAGGCTTCGAGTTTATCATTCTTAATAGCTGAGTAATACTCCATTGTGTAAAAGTACATCTTTTTCAACCATTCCTCAGGTGATGGGCATCTTGGTTGTTTCCAAGATTTGGCTATCACAAATCGTGCTGCTATAAACATAGGCACACATACATCCCTATGATACGATGTTTTCAGATCCTCCGGGAAAAATCCCAGTAGAGAAATAGCTGGTTTAAATGGGATTTCCAGACCAACTTTTCTAAGGAGTCTCCACACTGATTTCCGTAATGGTTGCACCAGTTTACATTCCCACCAGCAATGGAGAAGGGTTCCTTTTTCCCCACAGCCTCTCCAACATTTGTTGTTGGGTGATTTCTTTATGATAGCCATTCTTTCTGGGGTGAGATGAAATCTCAATGTTGTTTTCATTTGCATTTTGTGGATGCCTAGTGATATGGAGCATGTTTTCATATATTATTCACTTCTTTAATTTCATCCTCTGAGAAGTATATGTTCATCTCAGATGCCCATTTCTGGACTGGATCTTTAAATTTTGGAGCCCTAGTGTTTTTTTAGTTCTTTATAAATTCTAGAGAGCAAATCTTTGTCTGAGTACTTATTTGTTACAATTTTCTACAAATTTGTGGGTTGTCTTATCAACTGGTTGGTAATATCTTTTGACGTGAAAAAAACTTCTCAGTAAGAGCTGGTCCCAGTTGTTAATTCTTTCAACTGTTTCCCATGCAATTTGATTTTTGTTCATGAACTCTTTGCCTACCCCTATGTCTTCAAGAGCTCCTCCTACTTTCTCTTCCAGGAGATTTAGTGTCTCTGCGTTAATGTTTAATTTTTAAGTTTTTTAAAATTGCAAACCTGTGTGTTAAATACATATTAAACCATCCCCCAATGTACATGTACTTCAAGACATGCTGTATGGGCTGGGGAGCTGGCTCAGTGGAATAAACGCTTCCCTGGCAAGCTCAAGCGCCTGAGTTCAATCCCTGGTTCTGCAAAAAAAATAAAAAAAAAAAAGACACGCTGTATGCAATGAATGTTACCTTTTTTTTTTTTTTTTTTGCGGAACCAGGGATTGAACTCAGGTCCTGGCACTTGCTAGGCAAGCACTTATTGTACTGAGCCATCTCCCTGGCCCTTAACTTTTGAAAATTAAAAATTAATGAATAAAATAAAATTGGCCTCAGTTCAAGCAGGGTGATTTTGTCTGCTCTGGAAAGGTTCAGGCCCATCTACTCCTCTGACTGCACCCCGCTACCCAGAGGCGGGACGTGGGCAGCATGGCTGTCCCCTGGGGGACAGTTGCACTCAGCGCTCTGGGTCTGCCTGCACAGAACCCAGGCTGGTGGGCCAGAAGGCCAGCACCTTCCCCAGAAGTGGGGTCACGTGGTCCTCGTGAGCGTGCCAAGTCAATCTGCAGATTTGGAATACAGCAGTACCCTCTCTCTACTCTAACATTCTCTTTTTCTGCTGCCTTTGTATTGGCTCGACCAGTGTTCTCATCTACTTTTCAAAATCAAGTTTTTATAGAAAATAGTCTATAAAACTATTAAAAAAGTTGAACAGTGAATACTTATCAATAAGCCTCTAGGAGAATTTGAGGCAATACACAAGGTCTTCATCTTCTGTCTTTTGTAAGACCAAGTCTCACTCTGCAGCACAGGCAGCCTCAAACTCAGGCCGATCCTTGGGCCGAACGCTGGGATTACAGGTGGCACCGCCATGCCAGGCCCATGCCTCATCTTTTCTTGCCACTCAAAACCTATGATAAGATTTCTACTTAGGTCTCCTACGACTACCACAGTGCATGAGAATCCAGGCCACCAAAGAAATGGAGGCCATACTGGTTAACAGTGACACCCTAAATTTATTTGCCTGATCAAACCAACTATGTACACACTATATTTTTGAAGAATCACATCCATTTATAAAAGATAAACTGAGTCATATATTACTCAAACAGGAAATGAAGAGTGTACTTACAAAAGAAACATGTCAAAGGTGAAGGAATACGGACCAGGCTTAGGACACGACCTAAGCCCAGGGGCCACAGAACGAACTACAAAACTACGGAGTGGCCTGAGGCTGAGGCCAGTGGGACAGTGCCCACCCCTTCCTTCTGAGCCTGGCAGGGGACCAGGACGCTGTGTCTACCTGGCTTCCATGTGGAAGAAGGGCTGGCTGGGGGGCAGGGGCACTGCCCAGGCAATGGAGGACCACTCCTCCCCCAGAAAAACACGGAGGGCGAGTGGGGAGGGAGTGTGTGGAACGGCCACTTCTGGGAGCAGAAGGCCCGCGTTCCCCAGCACACTTACTTTTTCAGCTGATGGCCCAGTCCAAAGCGCTCTTTGGTGGAAATCTGAAAGACATCAACCGTGGGCACTGGAAAGGAGAGAAAGAATCACTCAGTTGATCACTGGCTTCAAACTGGATCATCCAGGGAAAAGGGTGACGCAGGAACAGTGTGGGCACGTGCACGCACAAGCACACACACGAGTGCAGACACGTGTGCACATATGCAGGCGTGCACACACATGCACACATGTGCACCCTCAGCACAGGTGCACACCCTAGCTGCTATCTAGGCACAGGCTGCACACACACCAGACCTTAGTGTAAGATCACCCGTGGCCAAGCGACCAAGTCACGAGTATCGTGCGTGGCATGTGCAGCTGGGGGGGCCATGGCGCACACCCGCGAGCCCTAGCACACGGCGGCTGGATGTAGCTCAGGACAGAGGCCCTGGGGTCAGGGCCCTGGTACCACAAAAGCAAGGCTGGGACCCACAGACCCACAGTAACTGACAGGGCCCAGCAGCCGACACAGCCACACTGGGCCTGCAGCAGCGTGGGTGGCTGCCCCAAAGGCGGGCCGCATGGGAAGGTCTCGGCCTCAGCCATCCGCACCATTTGTTTCCAAGAAAAAGATGACAAAATGAGGATACAGCAGACTCTTTCCAAGAAGATTTAGGGCACAGCCTTTACAGGCAGAAAGAAAAGGTGACCAGGAAGAGAAGACCCAGGCACAGAGCAGGCTCGCAGCAAACAGGAGGACGAACATGCCCACGACCGCAACCAAGGGGCTCCCGGGGAGAGATCCCACACGAGGAGGTGGAAAGGGGCAGGAACAGACCCAAACTTTTATTGAGAACCTATGAATAAATGCCACAAAATAAAAATACAACACATGGAACCCCATCAAAAGATGCACAACTAAGAGGTAAGGGTCAGTATTTTATCAAACAGACAAAATTCCCTAGAAAAATATGAATTACAAACACTGACCCAGTTAAAAGGAATAAAATCTAAATGGCCTACAACCTTTGAAAATATTGAAAGAGCTCCCAAAACGCTTTTACAAGCATTCCAGGGCTGGGAGATAGACCAACAGCACAAGCACCTGCCTGGCAAGCACAAGGTCTTGGGTTTGCTTCCCAGCACAAAAAAACAAATAAAGGTATTAAAGTTTAAATGACAAAATGCGTATTAATGCACTTAACTCTAGCTGTATTTAAGGCAGTGACCCATTAACAGCCAGGGCAAGTGTGTGCAGGGCTGTAATCTTTCAGTAAACCTAAAAATACTTTCAATGAATTTTTAACAATGTCTTTAAAAATTAAAAGCTTCCTGAAGCCCAGTAATAACCAGTTGGAAAGTAAATTGGACAACAAAAATCTGATTAAGCAAGCAAGCACGTACGAGTAAACTCATCTAAAAAAAGTAACATAAGCCAAATAAAAATTTTTACAATCCCAGAATTGTGCTAATAAAACACCTCGACACCACAGCACGTATTCTTCCACAGGACAAGTCCACGCTGTTTCAGCAGCGCCCCTCGCTCCAGAGCCTGCTGCCAGCTGACCTCGGCCAGGTCAGCTTCGCTCGGGGCTCGCGTCGGGCAGCGAGGCGATGAGGAAGAGCCCGGCAGGAGGGCCGAGAAACACTTTCCACGTTTTTCAAAGGTGAGAGCCAACCACCTGATCCTCGTCTCTAGTGTAATCTCAGCCGAGAAATGAAGGCCGCCACTGTGAGGCCATTCCTCTGCCTCTGCTCCCGTGAGTGCTGCACAGACGGCGCCCATCACAGGACAGCTCGCACCAGAAGACCCGCTCATGCAGTGCAGCCGTTTCTTACCGTCAGCTAAGCGAGGCCTGCCCTGGACATCAAGGACAGATTTGCACTGCCGTTCTGAAGAGCAGGCCACGCTCAGAGCCGACACGCGACATCCCGCGTGCGCGGCGGCGGGCGCCCTTCCCCACGTGCAGCACAGATGATCCTCATCTTTAATTCCAAGCAGATACAAAGGTGCACTCAAGGATAACAGTCAGAGTCGCCCAGGCCAAACACTGTAGTTTAAAATAAGTGGCATTCACACATTTCCCAACCCCAGAAATAAATGTTTTACTAAAAGAACTGTTAAGTAGGTCAATCTCGATCACGCATTAGTCACATACTTTCTGCAAGTTCATTTACTATAAATGCTGGTACCTTCAAAGACTGATTGCAAAACATTCTTAAAGAAGTAATTTCTTGCCTTTTCAGAAACTAAGATAAAGCCTAATTATTCCTTCTAGCGTATAAATGACATGTTCCTCTTCGGTAACATGGCCTCTAGTCTACTCACATATTACCCAATTACTGTCCATTTTAAATCGTATTTTTCCCCTTGATTTCTCAATAACAACAACAAAAGCCTTTTGGGGAACGTGCTAAGGCAGCGATGTGAATGAAGACTGCTCAACCAGCCCCCACTTGAGCAGCACGTTATACACACAGAAGAAAACCATCCGAAGAAACCAGAATCGAGGAGTAACGCTACCCCCACGTAAGACATTTCCAGCAGACTTTAAGCAGAGCAGGTGGACCAAGCCCAAGCCGAGGCACAGATTCTGGTCAGCCCCAGCGTCCGCCGGGCCTGCAGGCAGGGCTGAGGCCTGAGTCTGGCTCAGCGTCGGGCTGACCTGGCACAGATGGCGGAGCCAGGCCATGCCCGCCCCAGAGGGTGGTGAGGCCAGGATCTCCGAGGGCCTGTCCTCCATCCCCAGGGAGAGGAAGCTCGCGTGCGAGAGGAATGGGAAGAGCATGCTGAGCCGCGAGCAGCAGGGGCAGAAGCAGTGCCCCACGCTGAGCCCACGCACCCGGCGGCGGCGCGTGCACGGCTGACCAACACTCGACGCAGCAGAGAACCACGACTGACCTGGACCGTTCAAGTACTGCGTGAGGGAGCAGTGTAGCCGGACGACAATGGGCTCCGTGCGGGTGACCTCCCAAGCCACAGCAATCTCCTCCTGCGCAGACAGATGCAAAGGCTCGGTCAGTCACCTCCTAGAGGTGCAAGCAGGTTCACGTGAGAGGAGGAGTGCGTCAATTACGGAGGCCCACACATTACCTCAGGACCCACTGTCGTGTGAAAAGGCCAAGTCTTGGCTCGCAGATATAAAAAAATAAAAGGAAAGACTTATAATGAATTACAATAAAAAAAAATCACAGCCAGCATGATGGCACGCATCTGTAATCCCAGCACTCGGGAGGCTGAGGCAGGAGGATCACTGCAAGTTCAAAGCCAGCCTGGGCTATACAGTGTGTTCAAGACCAGGCTGACCTACATGGTGAGACCCTGTGTCGAAAAACAGCAAACAAACAAAACCTCCATATATTTCCTAATGTATTAAAAGAATCAAAATCAAAACCACGTTCATGCAGAGTCATTTCTTTCACTGGGGATAGCATCTCTCCACAAGTCAGCTTTCCAGTGTGACAGACACCCACAACTGTACCCTAAACCTACCAATTCCAATACAGAAACTGACACTCACGTCGAGAAAGCTCACGTCAATGTGCAGATCAATATCGACATCATCAATGGCTCCATATTCCCTGAAAGCAAAGATTAATATTAGGACTTTTTTCCATTTTCCTTAAAATATAGTTTGTGGTAGATCATTTTAATTTAGAATCGAATCACCAGTTCTGATCCCTGATTTCTGCAGAGACCGCAGAACTGACCATGAACATGCCCTGCTGGCTCAAGGCCGCTGAGCTGCCACTTGTGTGACCCATTTATGCCACAGAGAGATCTTTGTGCACACATGCACTCCAAGGGCTGGCGCATCCCAGAGTTTTCAAGTAAGTCAAGTCCCCCAGCGTGACTGGCCTGTCTCATCGCAGGCTTGAGGATGAAGAGCTGCTCCTGAGAACAGGAAAGAACTTTGCAAACGCAGGGTTAGGATGCAAAGACAATGGAACCGCTGTGAGGTTTTCTCTGGCTTAGCCATGGGTGCTCTGAAGCGGCCCCACGCTCTGGGGGGCCTGAATGCTGCCGTGTTCATGCGGTAGCTATAAGTTTAACATGTCAAAATTAAGGTAACTTAAAACAACAATGACAGTTAACTATAACATGTTCTAAATGAAGGTACTGTGAAGACCAACTTTCGTCGTACGGCTTCGGATAATGACATAACACAAAAGCAATACTTTTAATAGTCTCTATAATACACATCAGCATTTCTGATATCCCTATAAAATTTTCAAGTCACAAATACTACATATAACAAGGGATACAAAGGGATACAACTTTTAGAAGTAACTGAACTGATGAGAGCCAGGGGCCAGTATTTACTGAGCACGCAGGCACCAGAACTGTCCGGAGAACTTCCACCACATATGCTCACTTAGTACTCACGACCACTCCAGGACTGCTACTGTGCTATTTGCGCAGTGCCTGTGGCGCACAGTGATGAGGCAACTCTCTCGGGACAGCTCTGCGGCAGAGCTGGCCCCGAGTATGCGGGTTCTAGCCACCTACACATGCGTCCCATTGGCCCAGTGATCCAGAGACCACCGCTCTGCTTAGCAGCCAGGCTGCACGCTGGCGGCCCAGCAATCTCCTCCTCAGCTCGCACCGCAGTCCCGGGAGGTGGACGGCATCACTACATCCACTCTGCAGATGCAGAAACTGAGATGCAGACAAGTGAAAAGCTGCCAACCGTAGAAAAGATATGAAGTCTGTGAAAGGCCGGGCGCTAAAAGCGCTCCCACCCACAGCCCCTGGCCCGCAGCAAGGGTTCGACGAGGTTCCCATGCACCACGAACAGAAGTACTGCAAGTACAATACGAAGCATGGTACAGGTACAGAGGCCAGAGCAGACAATGGCTACATATGATTTATTTGTCTTTAATCTTTTATGTACTGATTTGGTACACAGTCTCACTGTGCAGCTCAGACTCATGTGCTCCTCTTGTTTTCAGTCTCCCCAGCACCACACCCGGACTTGGTGGCCGGCTCAGTGTGCCCAGGGACAGGGCCTGCGCAGCATGTGGTGCTGGGGACAGAATCCTGGTCCCTGAGCTTGCCTTGCCTGCTTAGGCTCTCAGTCCACTGAGCTATCTTGCGCCTGGTTTAAAGAACAGAGATAGAGGAGATCTTTTATTATATATCTAAAACCGAAGCAGGGTAGGATATATTAAATTACAGCAATTCAGATCCTGGATTTGCTATATTTTCATGATACCAAAACACTGAACACTTTTAATTTTCTTGTAAAACTGTTATTTCTTAATTTTTTTTAAGTTGAGTTTTTTTGCAGAACCAGGGATTGAACTCAGGCCCTTGCGCTTGCCAGGGAAGCACTTATTCCACTGACCCCTCTCCCCGGCCCCCAAAATGGCAAAAGGGTTTTGGTTTTTTGTTTTTTTTTTTTTTTTGTGGCCTCAGGTTGTGTTCAGCACAGGTCTGGTTCGGCTTGAGTATCTGGGTTTTAAACCACAGCACCTTGAGCCTGACTGCTTTGTTTAAGCAGGTATTTAAACAACTGAGTTAATGGGCAGGCCCCCACTTTTTAATTTTTTAATAGTAATATTTTTTAAAGTTACAGTAAAAAAGACTGATAAAAATAGCTTAAATAGTTTAAAAACATCACAGCATTGGATTCCCAGTGTGTACACACACACACACACACACAATCACAGCATCATGATACACATACTTTGTAAAAGATATTTTAAAATTGAATAAGAAATCAGTCACAAGGGGGCTGGGGAGATGGCTCAGTAGAATAAGCACTTGCCTGGCAAACATAAGGGCGTAAGTTCAATCCCCAGTTCCACCAAAAAAAAAAAGAAAAAAGAAAAAGAAATCAGTCACAAGATATGACAAAACCAAGCCACTTCTTCTGCCTTTAGTCTGGGGCCCACAAAGCTGCGAATCGCGCAGGTTCTGTGGGCACTGTTGCCGTGCATGCTCCTCTGGCTTCTTCCTTTCTTTCTATACAGCCTGTCAATAACGCAAAACCCACACACAGACCACGGATGGGACATAACCGGCCTCACAGCAGGTATTTCTAAGTGAACAATGCAACACACAAGCCAGTGATCAGAGCAAGCCGATGGGGCACACAGCGGCTGACCACCCACTGCTGGGTGTGCAAGGCCGCCAGCACCATGGGGAGGAGAGAAGAGAGCATTCAAAAGACCCTCCAGGGTGGAGAGGCCCTGCCCAGCGCCATTTCCTCTACAGGAAGAAATTCTAGCAAAGCCAGCGTAAAGGCGCTCAAGGCTCCACCTACGCAGAAGCAGAAAGCGCAAACAACTCACTAATACGCCCTAACAAGAGAATATTTAATTACAGCATGTTCATAAAAAGTGCCTACTGTGAAAGAAGCTGATACAAAAATACTGTATCCTGGAGGCAATGTTACTGACATACTCCTTCCTCAGAAAAATTATTTTTAAGAAGTATGGAAATTAAGATGATTTTAAAACTAGATATAAGGTAGACATAAGAATACACAAAGCATTCATATGGTAACTATAGGTTCCATTCAAAATTTGTTCTATACAAAGTGTGTTTCTACTTTGGGAGGTAGCAGCGCAGGTCGGTAATCCCACCACTGGGAGGTGAGGCAAAAGGACTGCCACGGAGCCCAAAGGACACAGCAAGACTCTGCCTCCCCCCCCCAAAAAAAAAATCGCTTCCTGGAAATGTAGATCTAATTTCTACCCCAGATCTTAGCTGAAAGGCCAAGAAGTGATCACAGATCTACTTTCTGATTAGGAAGTAATGTAAATCCATCATAACAAATGAGAGAGGCAGAAAATTACACACACACACACACACACACACACACACACACACACACACACACACAAATCACTTCTAAGACCACAATCGGTTACAACTCTTCTGCAGTTTGGGCACCTGCATGTCTCTCTGTTCTTTTTCTTCCCCTGTGGTCAGTGCTTTTCTGTAGTGCCCTTGTCTTTCCTAAGCATGACTTCAAATGACTGTATGGATACAAATATGGCTGCAGGAGGAGACATTTGCAGCCGTCTGCATGAAATCTACATGCACCAATGTTCTCACAGAATGACTTCTGGAATCCATGGTTAACGTGAATAGTGTGACTTAATTTAAGTTTCCTGGTACATATTGTTGAGGATTAGAAGTTTGAAACAACACACACACACACACACACACACACACACACACACGGATTACCACAGTGGCCCACCTACCACACCCTTATCCACACCAAATTATTTTCTTTTCCTCATTTTTCCCAGTCTCACTGGGGAGGGTTACTTTTATCTGAGATGATATACATGCAGAAGGCTCTAGTCATGGGCAGAGACAGAGAAAAAGTAATCAGCTTTTAAAGTACAATCAATAATGGCCAGCAAGAAAGCTCAGCGGACGGGGCTGGGAACAGCTCAGAAGAGTAAGTGCTTGCCTGGCAAGCGCAAGGGCCTGAGTACCACCACAAAGAAGAAAAAAAAAGCTCAGCAGCCTATAGCACCTCCTTCGGCAAGCTCAAGCAACCACGTGGGGACCGCAGTTCCATCCCCACAGCACATGCGCACCAACCCTGCCCCGGGGTGGGCTGAGCTGCCCCCTCAAATACAATCAATAACTACACCCATAATTTTCCAAAACACCAACAGAGCTGACTGCAGTCCTGATCAGAACGTGACACCTCTGACTTTAAAAGCTAACTATAAGTTTTAGAGTATTCCAGGCATAATTTCTTGGACAATTTTTTTGTTAAAAGTGAGCTGCTTCTACATTTCGAACACAGACAAGGGGGGGGAGGGGTTCAGAGCTGCCAGTGCTGCTCCTGACCACGCAGAGCCAACATAGGGCAAAAAGGAGGGCACCAAAGGCATGCAGGTGCATGCAGCTCCAGAAATAGTTGCTTGCTTGTCTTCAGGCCACAGTCAAAGCACCCTAAGCGCCGCTGCCTGTGCGAAGCCGTTGCCCCTGGGAGGCCCTTTCTCCATCACGCCAGTGATTGCAACTCTCCCGCTGCAAGAGAGCAGCACGTGGTGACAGCCTCTGCAGATGCAGCCGGCCAGCCGGCGTCACAAACACTTGTGCATCGGAGTTACTTCACGAGGAGCAGGCGCACAGCCAGGCCAGGAGCTGAAGATGAAAGCAGCGTGAACTCTAGTGCATCCTCAGTGTAATACTCGGCTCATGACAACTCAGAACAATCCCATGCACGGCCTATATTTACACCCTACGAAAAGACCACACCCAACTGAACCAAAGAATTTTTTTTTTTTTTTTTTTTTAAGATGAGGAAAATAACCCAGAAACAACCGGTGCTGCTGTTTTACTCTGCAGTGGAGGGTCTGGAAAGAAACTGCTCAAAGAATTTCTCACAACTAGGGAGACTTCTGATTTTAGGTGAGCTACTCTAGCAGTCTATACAACTTTAAATCGAGCCATTTGACTTTGGATGTTTGCATCTGCCCTAGAGGAGTTAAAAAGCCATGTATGAAATAGTTGTGTTAATAATTTTTTAGGATTATTAGAATTGTTGACAATCCACTCCTCTTGAGTGGAACCAATTAAGAACATTCTCGTTACGAGACGTTCA